GTGAGGGGTGGGAAGGGGGAGGAAAGACAGAGAGGAGAACACTTTTCCTTAACATAAGCAGCATAGGACAAAAAAGCATGGTTGGTCTACAGCTGAGGGCAGAAACACAGAAAACACAGGCCTCTCTCATGCAAACGTTTGAGCACATACTATAAATATTTTTTTATTTTTTTTTTTTTTCCCCCCTACACAAATACCCCCCCGGTTTGGGGGAGTTTCAAAGTTGTTTGTGCTCAGCACAAACTACACGTGGTAACAACAACGTGGTGAATAACGACCCCTAAAATGACACCGGAATTAAAGGAAAGCTATAGAAAAAGAAAGACAATAATTGAATTATTATTTTAAGCACATGCATTCATTAATTGTCTTAATTTATGTGGAACTTCCTCTGTAAGTTAAACATATAGTAAGAAAAATGCAAGGCTGGCATGTCAACTTCCTCTTTCTCCGTGAAGTGTCAAAGAACTCAGCTTGATCCTTAGAGTCAAGGCTGAATTTGCAGAGGTGGCAATTACAAAGCAAGTAACTTGCTGTTCCTTTCAAAATGAACAAATTAGATCAAGCACTCAGGAAAACATAAATATTACAAGACCACATAAAACACTACTTACCGACTCACTTTTTACATGGAAACTCCACTCTTAAGTCTTTTGGAACCAAGGAAAAAAATATTATATAATAAAATTTTTTACGCCAATGAATTAAGCAATAGGTACATTTTTATTTTGATCATCTTGCTCCCTATCATAAAATAGTAGGTTTATTTGCATAAATTTTTCATGTTGGAGATGAATACTCTGCTTTGACAACAAGCACTCTTGCTTTTTTTTGGCTTGCGTCCCATACTGACATTAACTCTAAAGGCTCTTTAAGTAGACCCCACTGTAACCAAAATTTAAGGGAAACACCAGATAGCCAGATAACTTGGGGATCACGCCCAACTCAAGAGATTTTTTTCCATTAATCAGCTGCAAGCCAGGTCACTAGCTTGAGATGTAAGAGCCATTTTCCATGCTGTACATGCTCCTATTTTCTAGTGAGTACAGAGGGTTCATTAAAGCTAATTTGGGGTTGTTATTTTGCTGGGTGGTTTTTGGCTTGGTGGTTTTTTGTTGGGTTGGGGTTTTTTTCCCCCAGCTAAGCTCCGTGATGGAAGCTTCTCCTTCCAGTGCTCCAGATGAAGGTGCTCCTTCCAGTCAAGGAAGTCTTGAGGAAGTCAAGCTGAGGAGTCTTCAGGAAAATTCAGAGTTTTGATGGCCCATTTTTACCTTGAAAAAAAAAAACAAAAAGCTGAAAAAGACACTTACACTTCTAGATCGTTTGTTTTGCTTCCCTTCCCCCCCCCCCTTCAGACAACCCGGCTGACCCATTCCCCCCTCCCCCACCCTGCTCTCCCCCATAAAAAAAACCACAAAAACCCCACCAAAAACAACCCAACCAACCAAAAAACCCCCTCGCAGAGCCGGAAAGGCACAAATAAAAGAGGTTTCGTTTGGAAAACGGGACTTTTCCCCTGCAGGAAGAGGCCGTTGGCTGTCACCCCGAGGCCCAGCCGGGGCTGACAGGCCGCCGTTTCCACACAGCCCCGCCCGCGTTCCCCCCCCCGAGCTCCCTCAGCCCTTCCTCCGCGCTCCCGCCCGCGATCCTGTTCGGCTTTTGCCTCAGATTTCTCCTCCTCCTCCTCCCCCGTGCCGGCAGAGCGCGGCCCCGTAAACATGTGCTGCCCTGTCAGCGGGCTCCGCCATGCCCACCCGCACCCCTCCGCGCCCCGCACCGCGGCCCGCCGCTCGTTGCGCGGCAACGCGGAGCCGGTGGTGGGTGCTGAGGAAGGTGGGGGTGCGGCGCTGAGGGGAAGGCGGTAGCGCCCCGCAGGGCCGCGGCGGCGGGGAGGGCGGCCCGGCCACCCCCGTGGCTTTCGGAAGAGGAGGCGTTAAAGGCTTGGGGTGCGGAGAGGGAGGGGGCGGCGGCCGGCCGGGGCTGCCGTTCCGCCGTTTATTAGTAACTGCGTATTTCCTAGGCGATGGCGGAGGCGGGAGGCCTGGCGCCGGGCCCCCCCCCTTCGCGCCGCCTTCCCCGCCTGAGGTACGGCCTGAGGTACGGGCTCCGCAATAACCACTTTTACAGTTACAGACAAACATCTCGGAGCCCTCCGCCCCCCAATACTGAACTCGGGGGGTTGTGTAAGGCTTTCAGCTTCCTTAAAAAGAAAAAAAAAAAAAAGATAACCAAATAAAACCGGCGTGGAAAAAAGAAGTTTGGAAACTAGATAAAAACAGGTCAGAAATCGGCAAATACATAAAATGACCCAAGCGTGGCTCAGCCACACCTCCTGGTTGTTCAGTTCAACTTGATTAACTGGGAACCTGTGACTGGAATTAGGGGGAGACAGTTTATGCTCCAGCGGTTACCTGTTACAGAGAGAGAACACACATGTCAGCCTGTAATGCTGAGCACATTGTGGGGTCTGGGTAGAATACACTTAATATAAAATACAGTCCAGGTCACAACTAACGGCTGTGCAAGTTTGGTTCTTCAACAAACTCCCCCAGGAAAGAGCAAAAGCTCTTAAATTTCGCATCTGAAGCCTCATTTCTTTCTCTGGTTGGTGGCTAGGTCTTCGCTCGTGTTTTGAGAGGGAAGGTGTAGTAAAATTGAAACATTGAATTTTGAATTGGCAGCATTTTAGGCATCTTCTTGTGATTGTTTTTTCACGTGTAATGTTTTAGCTTGAATTTTTAAGTTTGTCAGCCAAATGGGGAAGACACTCCGTAACACCAATGTACTCTTAAGAAGCTGGCGTTCTTTTACTTGGCAACGGGGACATGGGGGAATCTCTCCACCCACCATGTCCATCGAATGCGAGGGTCCCAGACTTATATCCATACAGCATTTGCATGGTCATGACATCTCCCAGAACTCATTATAATATTCACATCACCCTGGCAAGTCTGTGAGGGGCTGCATGGAAGGGCTTGGGTGGTCCCTGGTGGTGTTCGGTGGTCACTCTGGCGTGAGGGCTCAGTAAATTCTTGGTGGTTCTTTCCATGTGAAGCCTTGACTTGGGAGTGTCCTTCTGTTTGACCATGGCTGGTTTGTGCTGATAACTCTTTGAGGGGATTGGGGAAGGTAAATGCAGAAGCATTTGCAACTCCTCCATTTATTGTGCAGGCTAGTAAATGGGTTCTTTCTGATGGTATTCTTCACTAGTTTTGCTTGTATTTGCAAAAAGCACCCTTAATCCTTTTAGTTGCACATTCACATATCCACTAGGCTCTTAGTTCCTGATTGTAACAAGTTCTTTTAATTAATGTTTGGTTTCTAAATGGTTGGGTTTTGTTTCCAAAGGCTAGAGCTATTCTGTTTTGCTGGCTTTCTTTGGTAGAGATGTGTTGTATTTTAATCTATGATTTGTGTAAGCAAAAAGAAAACCTTGCGGGTACTGAAAGTGTTACTAAATACAAAGGGTTCTTTTCCAGTGTTTATAGAAGAAACTTATTTGTGTATAAACATTCCTTTCCTTTTTTTTTTTTCTTTCTTTAATGTGAATGAAGGGTGACTTGAGGCTTTGCTGTGGGAGGAACAGAGCAGCGGAGTGATGGGGAGTCTGGGGGCCGTTGGAAAGAGGGGGAATGTGAATGAAGGGTGACTTGAGGCTTTGCTGTGGGAGGAACAGAGCAGCGGAGTGATGGGGAGTCTGGGGGCCGTTGGAAAGAGGGGGGCACAGGGAAAAGCCAACCCAGGAGGGCTTTCCTTCCTCGTGGTGTTAAAGGTGTTTGGTCAAAAGGTAACACAATGCAGAAGTTTGGCGTGGATGGCAAGATAATGAGATTTACTTGAGCTTCAGTTTAATGAAGCATCTACTGCCTTGTCTGAGTAGTTTGGAAAGTGTTACTTAGATAAACACAGTCTCAAAGCAGAAAACTTAAATCCAGATGGCAATAGTCACAGAGGAGGGACAGCAAAAGAGGAGCATCGGGGGCGAGGGGATCAAGCAGTAGGAATGGGAGAGTAGCCCTGGGACAGTGACAGTAGCAGAGATGTTGATGAAACCAAGCATTTTGTTTCTAATACTTATTTCCTCACAATTTTCCCTTGAACACAACTCCTTCACAGGCAGGCAGTTCACTGGAACAGGGGAGAAGTAGGTAATCAAACTGACATTACACCCATGTGAAAGAGGCCTGGGTTAACTATGCATGGCACAGGTAAGTGTCCTGAAGATACCTGATACAGCTCTTATTAAAAATTTGGATCATTTTCTTTCTGTGTCTGTATTTCTGTGGTCACATTGCCCTTTGTGCTGCTCACGAGTTAGCTGCCTGCAAAATCCAAACTTCGGAGCCTTGGGACGTGGATTACCATTTCCCTACAATGAAGTTGGTTTTACAGAATAATAGACATTGATTTTAGAGGATAATTAACCTCTTCTGCCACAGAGCATTAGGTGAGTAGCCTGTCACATGAATTATTATTTTGAGTATTTTAAGTTTAATAACTTAAGAGTCTTTAAGCTTAATAACTAAAGTGTTGCATAGTTCTTTCAAAAAGGAGATTAGTTAACTGACACCATCTATCCCTGCTAGTTATCTGCAAGTAGATTACAGAGAATGATACTCCATTTGCACATGCATTTTGCAAACTTACTCCTTGGTTGTACTCTTTATTTTGCAAATTGCAGACATTGAGATGAAGGGTCTATAATTTCCTAGCTTGCCTTTCTCTTGGAACACTGGTGCTGCCCTGGCACGCATCCACTTCGCTGTGACTTCATTTGAATACAGCAAATTCTTTATTATGATTCACAAAGGGTTGCTCTTTGGTCTGCTTTGAATCTCAGTCTGCTCATGGAGATTAGTGGGTTTTGAGCAATGCCAACTCACTAAATATCTCTGCTTCACTGATCTCAAAGACATTTGTGACAATGGATTTAGTAGTCATTTTCATGCGTGTTCTTGCCTTTGAATGGATAATACCTTAGTAGTTCTGCTTTCCATTGCTGTTTGATTCTCTACTTCATTCAAAAGGGTTTAAATTCCAAACTTCCCTTTCCTCATATGTTGCTTCTTTGAGGTACATAAACACATTTGTTTGTGGTTTTAATCCTTGTGTGCAGCCCTCCTTCGCCTCTTTGATTTTATTTTTGGTGAATACATTGCAAATGTCTATGTATTGTCTCCCTCTTCATGACAGAAACTAATGAAACTTTCTCTCCCGAGGCAAGATTAACAGAAATTTTCTTCAACTGAGCAGGAAGAGGCCAGTGATTTGAAGTAGGGAGGTCCCAGTTACATGTCCTGATGTGACCATATGTCTCATTTGGCCACAAGAATTAGCCAATGGGCAATGGTAAAACCTTAGGTGACATCAGCTCAGCAGCCCCTTTTATTTTTTCCTGACAGTGTCTCCATTAATGTCTTCACCAGCTAGCAGGTAACACACACAGACCACGTTTAGCTGTTAAGTCTGACAGAAGTGTTTTGGACAAGTATGCTTTTTAGACTGGGATCATATCTTTTCAAATAATCTGTTCAGTATTGTTTTCTTGTAAAGGTTTCTCCCAGTTCCACTGCAACATAACAAAATAATCTTCCAACTTTTGAGTTACTCAGAAAGAGCTGTACTAGACATAGGTGGGTATTTACTTTTTATGATGTAATCACAAAATTAGAGACATCCATCATCTTAATTTCTCGTTTGCCAGTTAAGGCCACCAGCATGAGCTGCATTGTATGTTGCCACTTCAGAGGCTTCCTTTTTATACTTGTAGTCCACAGTCTTCTCTGGGGACTCCTGACCACTAGAACACTTGGGTTTTAAAGCTCTTCTTGCCCCGAGTTTTAAGATGTATTTATTTTCTGAAATGCACATACTTAACAGGTAAAGTGTTCCTGTGTAGTTAGAGCTCAGTGGTTCTGAATAGCTTACATTTAAAAATAAAACTATTAGCAAACATCTCTGTTTTATACAACTCGTTGCAAAACAGTCAGTATGATGGTCTAGGTACAAAAAGATCTTCCATTTGTGTATTTCTCTCACTCCAGCTGGAGCAGGACATCACCATTATCATCACCTAAACCCTGAAAATGTGTTCATTTAGAGAAATCCCTCATGGAAAGAGGGCTCTATGTTACTCATTTATTTCAGTGAATAGAACTAGGCAATAATGAAGAAGTAAAACCAGGAATTAAGCTTTTTTGTAGGCGTATTTGCAATTTGGGGTTTATTTTCATTCATGTTAGTAAGAAATACCATGTAGCTAAACAGTATCTTCTGTTGGTGTTTGTCACATTACTTCTCTCCGTCCATTGAACACAACCTTATATAATAAAGCAGGATCCTGGAATGACAAATTTTAAATTTTCTCTAAGAAAGGTGATCAGCCTCTTTCTCCTTCCTGAAAATTTCTTAAGACAAGGAGTATTATTTTATCTTGATAAATGAGACAGAAAATTATAAACCCTTTAAAATAGTAGGTTAAATTTCTGAAGCAAACAGACCCCCAAAGCCCTATGTTGCTGCCAGATCGAGCTGAAGACTTTTAATTGCTCCAGGAGAACAGCAATTAATCTCCAGAACTGGGTTTGGTTTCAGAAAATGGAAGAGCACAGTGAATTTCTTACTAAACTAAAGAAATTCACTTAACCAACTTTCTCAAAAGCAAAAAGCAAAAGTGTTCAGAGCTCTTAGTTCACAGAAAATCAAGTTCCACCAACACAGACATAAAATAGGTAAGAGAAGTAGAAAGTATTGAGTAACACTGAAAAAAGCCCCAAATAGACCTTGATGGTAGTTTCCCTACAGGGAAGTTGCTCCCAGGTCAGGATTTGGCAGTTGTACTCCCAATCCATGCACAGCAAAGGATGTTATAGTATTGCAGAGGCTTCTTTCTAGGCAAATCTACTGGGCTGCTCAGTATCTGTACCTGCATACCTGTGGGGGTCGGTCTCTTCTCCCAAGTCACAGGCTACAGGACAAGA